ACCTTTTCAATTCGTCGAATGCCTCCTGGCACTCCGTCGTCCATTTGAAGCTGCTGGATTTCCGCATGATCTGAAAGAAGGGGAGTGCCCTCTCGGCTGACCTGGAGAGGAACCGGTTTAAGGCCGCCAGGCGCCCCGTCAGTCGCTGTACCTCCTTGACGTTGCGGGGCGGCTCCATGTTGATGATAGCCTGCGTCTTCTCCGGGTTTATCTCAATGCCTCTCCGGCTGACCATGTAGCTGAGGAACTTGCCGCCCTGGACGCCGAAGGCGCACTTCTTAGGGTTGAGACGGAGCTTGAACTCCTTCATTATTTCAAAGATTTCTTGGAGGTCGTCGGCGTGGGAGGTGGCCTGCCTGCTCTTGACGATCATGTCGTCGACGTACGCCTCCATCGTCCGGCCAAGGACCGCTCTGAAGATCTTGGCCACCATCTTAGTATAGGTGGCGCCGGAGTTTTTGAGTCCGAAGGCCATGACGAGGTAGCAAAAGATTCCCTCTGGGGTCATGAATGCCGTCTTCTCAGCGTCATCTTCATGCATGGAGATTTGGTGGTACCCTCTGAAAACGTCGAGGAACAACATCAACTCGCACCCCGCCGTCTCGTCCACCAGCTGATCAATATTGGGGACAGGGAACGGGTCCATGGGGCACGCCTTGTTCAGGTCAGTGTAGTCAACACACATTCTGAACGTCGGCGGTTTCTGGGCGAGGATGACATTGGCCAACCATGTCGGGTACTTCACCTCTTTGATGTGTTTGATTGATAGGAGCATGGCGACCTCCCCTTTGACGAAGTCCCGCCTGTCGGCGGACAAGTAGCGCCGCCTCTGCTTGACGGGCGCGGAGGCCGGATCGACGGTCAGCCGGTGAGTGAGCACCTGGCGGCTGATGCCCGGCATATCGTCCGGGCCCCACGCGAAGACAACGGCGTATGACCGTAGGACGAGGAGGATGGCGTCTCTTTGGTCCTGGGGGAGTTGCTTTCCGACCCTGAGAACCCGCTCCGGCCGGGAGGTATCCAGAGGGATTTCCTCGACCTCCTCGGCCGGCTCCGCACGTGGTCTCTCCTCGTCCATGGCGACGGCGGCCATGATGGTGTCTATCCTCTGGCCCTCTCTCTCGACCGACCTTGTCAGTTTGAGGTAGCATGCCCTGGCTATCCTCTGGTTTCCTCTGGCGTAGCCGATGCCGTCGTTGGTGGGGAACTTCAGGCACAAGTGCTTCATGGAGATGATGGCCTCCAAGTCCTCCAGCGCTGGCCGGCCCAAGATCAGGTTGTGGGCGCACTGGAGGTTGACCACCATGAACTCCATGTTAATTTTGGCGTGGTGGGGGTCGTCACCGACCTCCACGGGGAGGACTATCGTGCCCTCGGCGTCGATAGAGTCCCCGGTGAAGCCGGATAACGGGGTCTTGATCGGCTTCAGCAGAGCTCTGTCCAGCTTCAGCTGCTTGAAGGTGTCCAGGTACATCACGTTGATGGAGCTCCCCGTATCGATGTAAGTACGGTGGATGATGGAGTCACCGATCTCACATCGGATGACGAGGGCGTCCCTGTGTGATTCCGTACCCGGAGGCAGATCCTTGTCGGTGAAGGTGATCGCCTCCGTTCGCTGCCTCTTCGGCTGGGGGGGGGGACGTGGGACACCTCCCCAATGTAAAGGGATTGGGCCCATTTCTTTCTCTGAGTGGCGGAGTCCCCCCCAGTGTTCCCACCTACGATGAGGTGGATGTGATTCTTCTTCGGCGGGGGCTCTTCGAAGTCCTCGTCGTCGCTGAGCCTACCAATCTCCCACTTCTTCGCAGAGGGTTCGCCCCCATGTTTGCCGGTGTTTACCCAAGTGTTCTTGCGTGGGCCACCTTTGACAAACTGGGAGAGTTCCCCCTGGCGAATAAGGCGCTCGATGGCCTTCTTCAGTGTGATGCAATCGTCGGTGTTGTGCGATGAGTTCTTGTGGAACCGGCAGTACGTGTCGCCCTGCTGGATGGCAAGGATCTCCTCGGCCGGCCGAGGAGCCTGCTCGATGAGGCCGTGCTTCTCGGCATAATCGAGGATGGTACCGACCGGGTGGGTGAGGGTTACCCCCGGCCGTTCCAACCTCGGACGCCAGTGGCGGTCCTTCTTACTCTGTCCACCAGAGCCGTGGCGGCCCTGGGCACCCTGGCCGGCCGGGGACGGACCCGGGGCCGGCGAAGGATTTGTCTTCTTGGGGGGATGGCCCCCCTCTCTCTTGTGATTGTGGAGCTCGTCGGCGTCGGCATACAAGCCTCCGCGCTGGAGCGCCTTGGCGTACGACCTCGGGGGGTCGGTGATGAGGCTCCTAGCGTACGGGGAGCTGCGGAGGGCTCCCTGGTACAAGGCGAGGAGGGTGCGCTCATCGGCCCCCTCGACCTCCTCGGTCTCCCTCGTCCACCGATCGATGAATGACCGGAGGGACTCCTCGTGCTGCTGCTTGACGGAGAGGAGGTGGGTGAAATACTTCTTGGCGCGCTTCCTCCCGGCAAAGTGAGTGAGGAAGCGCTGGGCGAGATCCTGCCATGCGTCGATGCTTCCTTCTGGGAGCCCGTTGAACCACTCGTACGCTGGCCCCTCGAGAGTAGAGAGGAACCAACGGCAGAGGTATTCGTCGGACGCGTTCACCATCAGCATGTTGTTCTGGTAACGGCTGAAGTGCTCCTGGGGGTCTAATCGGCCATCGTAGGACTTGATGGCGTTCCCCCTGTACTTCTCAGGGATGGGGGCCGAGAGGACCCTGTTGGTGAAAGGGGTCCTGGTCCTGACCTGGATGATGGGGTCACCTCGCCCTTCGGCCAGCTCCCTCTCCAGGGCGCTAACTTTGTTCATGAGCGCGTTGAGGCCGGGGTCATTGGAGGCGCCGGCCGTAGGGATGTTGGCCGACTGCTTGGCCTCAATCTGAGCCAGCCTCCTTTCCAGCTGGGCGATGACCTCGTCCCGGGGGTCCCTGTCGGCCGCGGCGGCGCCCGGCTGGTTCCTCAGGCGCTCGTTGTGAGCCGCGTTGATCTGGTGACACACGTCATCCTCGTGCAACTTCCCCTTGCCCTTGTCCGGGCGGGGCTGGTCCGCTGTCCGGGACACAGACCCCAAGCTTTCCCTTGGCGAGCCAGGACGAGGATCACCAATCCGTCCCGCCATCCTCTCCGAAACCGGACGACGGCGCATGTCACCTAGCCTATTGAAGGCAGAGGCTTTTCCACGCGCTGGGGTCTGCCCGGGCCGAAGAGGGGAAGCAGGGTGGGAGTGGGACGACGCCGTGTCCTGGGCCATAACCCCCTCATTGTTGCCTATCTGGACGGCCAACGGTTGGGGATGAGGAGGTGGAGTGACGTTTCCCCCGGTCCTTGGCAAGAGTGCGCTGAGGACGGTGGGGTTCTGGGCCAGGGTGGCGATGATGACCGACAGCGCAGCCTGGACCTGTGGATCCACGGACGGAGAGGCCGCGACCATAGGCTGGGCCGGGGCGTGGTCCGTCTTCTCAGCTCGTTTCTTTTCCAGGCCGAGGCGGGCGTCGGGGACTCCGCCGTTGAGTTGGTTGCGTAGGTCCGTCGTGAGGTTGAAGGCCTCCTGGAAGAGGTCCCCTCCGCCGGCCTGGTCGGCCGTGGTGTCCTCCTCACGCTCCCTGGGCTCTTGGTCCTCAGGGATGACTTTGCTGACGAGGTTGCGGTTTGACTTAGTTCTCCCCATGATCAGTGGTTTAGCTGTGCTTGGTAGCGACGAAGGATGCTAACTTGATTGTTCTAGCTCTCAACAAAAGCACCAAATGATAGAGTATATCTAGAGAGAAGTGAGAGCTAGAGAGAGAAGTGCAGTAATATGCTTCAATAGAATGAATTTGTAACCCCTATAACTACTCCCAAAGGGAGTATTTATAGAGAAAATTAGGGCTGGGCTCCCAAGTCTTGGGCTTGGGAGGCCCATTTACAACTGGACCGCTACTGGGCCGAATACAAAGCCACTAATGGGTTGTACAAATGAGTAAGTGTAAAATCCGATTCTGGGAGGTCTTCTTGGCCGACGAGGGCGTGGCCGACGAGGGCACGGCTGACGAGGGCACCCGGGTTCCTTGGACTCAGGACCATAATCCGAGTTGGCCCCTTTTCGGCCGACGGGGGCGTCTTGGCCGACGAGGGCGCCACTCTGTTGTCTTGTGCTTTCTGTTCTTCCGAGTATGTGGGTCCGGGGGCTCAGACCCATGTACTCCATCAATATATATATATACACACACACATTTTGTTACTCGATCAAGAATTTTTTTGATGTATGTGCGTTAACTTTTACATGACTTCCTTATGGTTATATACCCAAGAGTTTCTTGAGTTAATGGATTTTTTTCTAAGTTTGATTGGTAGTTGATGAGTTGATGAGTTGATCTGAGATTGATAAAGAAGGGAAATGAATAATATAAACCGTAAATGTATCCATTCAAAGAAAATATAACAAAATTATTCAAAAGAAGTACAGAGTATATATATAATTATATAAACTTGGGGTGGGAGCGGTCCGGGTCGGTTCGAGTAATCGAAAAATTTTCAAGAACCGCCGATTCCATTTAACGGGTAGGTTCGGTTCGAGTATACCAAATCTTGAAATAGGAATCAGACCTTACCCGCCCCGTTTGAAATGGGCTGGTTCAGTTCGAGTTCTTGGTTCTTTATTTTTTTTATAAAAGACCTAGCAAAGTTTGTAATAAGTTGTAAAATTCTCAAAATAATAAAGTATTAATGTAACCATAATATAGTAAAAATTCAAAAAAAAAAAGATTGCATATAAAAATGTGTGATTATAATAAAGTATTGATAGAGTATATAGACTCGGACCCCCGGGTCTCACGACTATTGGACCCGGACAGTGGCCCACGTACACTCAGCTGATAGCATTTTCATTATTGTACATTATTATTATTATTCAGGTGTTCTAGATTAGCCTTTTATATTATCAGTCCATTTATGTAACCGAGTCTGTCAGACCCATATTAGAGGCCCAAACCCGGATATTCTTCTATATATACTCCCTTAGGGAGTTCTTGTAAACCTAATTTCACAATTCACTATTCATTCATCTTCTTCCTCACATTAGCTCAAATCTCTCCATTTTAATATACTTTGGATACCCTATAATCCATCAATGGTGCTCTCGTTGAGAGATTAGAGCAAAATCAAGTTAGATTTCTCCCAAAAAATCTCCAAAAATTCATCCAAAATACCAGAAACATTTCTGCCTAAACTGTTCTGGGAAAATTCCAGAAAAATCAGCCTGAAAATAAAAAAAAACAACAAAAAAGCGTCTCGGATCTCTCGCCGGAGACATCCTCGCCGGAAAGATCTGAACCGCCGAGCACTGCCGACCCCATCTGCCCTCTGCCGGTGCACCTGCTGAGGTTTGGGACGTCGTACCCGGCCTCGTCGCCATCGTTCCGAACCCAGCACCGTCGTCGCTCAAGTCCTGCCGGTTCCCGTCTAGATCTGCGCCCACCTATTTGTCCGCAGCGTGGTGGAGGTTGATGCTCAACAAATCACCTCCGGTATCCTGTTGGTTGCCTTCGCCACTAGAGGATCGGACCTGGGCCACTCCGTAGTCATCTGACTCGGTCACTCGAGCTTAAGCTTAAACACCCGCCATTAATGGCAGCCAAGAGCTTCGGGATTGACATGACGTGAACAGGTGCACGCGAACAGGACGCGAACAGGACGCGATCTTCCGGCAGGCGGAGGGACTCTCACGCCGAATCTATCTCCGCCGGAGGGTCTCACCGCCATCTTCCTCAGGAGCTGTGGACGACCCCCTGGGCAAACTACGGTAGCTACGTGCTAATTGATCTGCGACAGTTTGGCCTCTTGCCAAACGTGGAAGGAGCCACAGGCAAAGGACTAGGTCAAAATTGTTGATGGAGCTGCCCAATGAGGAATTAAGACCCAATTTCTACATGGGTCCATCATTTCAGCCCAGGCAGCCCATTACTTCAACCCCAAGATTAATTCTCAAAAGCTGATGGCCTCAATCACAGCAACATATTTCAGCCCATTATTTTGGCCTAAATAAGAGCTAAGTGCCCAATCCTCCTATTTATACACTTACAATATTTATTAAGTGATAGTAGTATAATTATTACTATTATTAATTATATTATTTCCACCACTATTATGGCGGGTTAAAAACCCCCAAGGTGGTGAAGACCATTATGAGGGATTAAAATTTCCCGAGGTCGCTAATGATGCATTATTATTGGCATTATTATTTTTATCATCACCATTAGAGCGGGTTAAAAACCCCAGAGCGGTGAACCCGAGCTCTAGTCTACTAAACATCTTTATTTGATGATTTGAATTATATTTGGGTCATTCGACCTACCCTAGCCACCTTTATTTGGTGACTCGGGCATCTAAAAATGAGAGCCGCTACCGGCCGCACATGGCATTATGCCCGAGAGCGGTGAACGGTACACCTCGTTCTCCGAGACGCTAATCGCGTCGCCCAAAAGCCGTTGCCATGAACAACGCACCTATTGTATTCCGCTTATTTTTTGGAAATGTAAGTAGAAGATACCACTTGTCGTATCAGGAGCCTTCGAGCGAAAGGCTCAGGTCTGCTCCACTTTGTATTTTGTATCAGCGAAAGGCTCAGGCCCAGCTGAGAGAGCACGTCGTATCGGCCCCTTAGAGCGAAATGCTCAGGCAGGGCCGACGATGTCCCCAGGACGACGGGCCCGCAAACTGCCCCCGTCTTGAAATGGGAAGTTCACCGCGTCGTCCACGCGCCGGATCGCAGGACGACAGGCCTGAAATCATGGCCGAGGTGACAAAATCCCCAAACTCAGGGTCGGGCAACGGCAGCCGTTGGAAACCAACCAAAAGTCTAGCCCGCGTCATAAATAGGCGACGGGAACCCCCTGAGATCACGGACGTTATAAACGAAGTCCGAACCGGCCGAAGGACTAGCGACCCCTTCGGCCGAAGCCTGAAAGAAGGACACTCCCTGAAACGGGGAACGAAAAAAAAAGGGAAAAGAAAAGGAAAAAGAAAAAATAAAAGAGGGAAGCTGAGGACCGCGCGCACTCGCCGGCCTCGAGCAACAAAAAATGAAATCCCCACAACAATACTAAGTACATATCAGGCAAATACTACACATTATGGACGAAGCAAGACCATACATGCGGATTTGACGAGCGCCCAGCGCCGTCCATCATCTGAGACGAGCGCCCAGCGCCGTCCATCATCTCAGACGAGCGCCCAGCGCCGTCCCTCATTTCAGACGAGCGCCCAGCGCCGTCCATCATCTCAGACGAGCGCCCAGCGCCGTCCCTCATTTCAGACGAGCGCCCAGCGCCGTCCATCATCTCAGACGAGCGCCCAGCGCCGTCCATCATCTCAGACGAGCGCCCAACGCCGTCCATCATCTTAGACGAGCGCCCAGCGCCGTCCCTCATTTGTTAGACGAGCGCCCAGCGCCGTCCCTCATTTTCAGACGAGGGCCCAGCGCCGTCCCTCATATTCAGACGAGCGCCCCGCGCCGTCCCTCATCTCAGACGAGCGCCCAGCGCCGTCCATCATCTCAGACGAGCGCCCAGCGCGTCCATCATCTCAGACGAGCGCCCAGCGCCGTCCATCATTTGAGACTAGCGCCCAGCGCCGTCCCTCATCTCAGACGAGCGCCCAGCGCCGTCCTTCATTCTTAGACGAGCGCCCAGCGCTGTCCCTCATTTTTTAGACGAGCGCCCAGCGCCGTCCCTCATTTTCAGACGAGCGCCCAGCGCCGTCCCTCATTTTTTAGACGAGCGCCAGGCACCGTCCCTCATGTTCAGACGAGCGCCCAACGCCGTCCCTCATTTCAGACGAGCGCCCAACACCGTCCCTCATCTCAGACGAGCGCCCAGCGCCGTCCCTCATCTTCGGACCAGCTCCACCGTCCTACATGTTCGGTCCAGCGCCAACGCCTTGCCACGTTATCATATTATAGGACCGGCTCCTCATCGCCGTTGTCCTCACATCACGACCGGCCCCTCGGCCTCGTCGTGACCATCTATCTCAAGACCGGCTTCCTCAGCGCCACGAGTCTTGAGCCAGCGATCGGGCTCGCCATCCCTTCCCGGATGGTGATCATCGCCTCTATATGATGATCGGCTTCACCATCGCCTCGTCATCATTATTTGTAGGCCTCTGAGCCACATCTTGCTCCGTCATCTTTATTTGATGACGCGAAGCTTAGTTGCAGGCCCATCGGGCATATATCGCCTCGTCATCTTTATTTGACGACGCGAAGCTCATTTACAGGCCCCTCGGCCGCACCATCACCCCGTCGTCTTTATTTGACGACGTGGAGCTCTTATGGAGGCCCCTCGGCCGCACCATTGCCCCGTCGTCTTTATTTGACGACGTGGAGCTCTTATGCAGGCCCCTCAGCCGCACCATCACCCCGTCGTCTTTATTTGACGACGTGGAGCTCTTATGCAGGCCCCTCGGCCGCACCATCACCCCGTCGTCTTTATTTGACGACGTGGAGCTCTTATGCAGGCCCCTCGGCCGCACCATCGCCCCGTCATCTTTATTTGACGACGTGGAGCTCTTATGCAGGCCCCTCGGCCGCACCATCACCCCGTCTTCTTTATTTGACAACGTGGAGCTCTTATGCAGGCCCCTCGGCCGCACCATCGCCCCGTCGTCTTTATTTGACGACGTGGAGCTCTTATGCAGGCCCCTCGGCTGCACCATCGCCCCGTCGTCTTTATTTGACGACGTGGAGCTCTTATGCAGGCCCCTCGGCCGCACCATCGCCATGTCGTCTTTATTTGACGACATGGAGCTCTTATGCAGGCCCCTTGGCCATACATCGCCTCGTCGTCCTTATTCGACAACATGGAGCTCTCGTACAGGCCTCTCGGCCCATCGGCCTTACGTTCTGGTCATCTTTATTTGATGAACCAGACATCATATTGTGGACGGTCGCTCGACCCATCCCTTAGTCATCTTTATTTGATGACTAGGACTACTGATCATGATGAGCTACCCACATCTAGAGATCGGCCTCGACCATCCCCCCAGCGGACGGGCACCGTTGCAGCTCCATCTCCAGGCCGAAGGGTTTGCACCTTTTGTTTCATTTTGGGGGCATCCGGTGTACTCTTTTTCCCTCATTAGGATTTTTTCCCACAGGGTTTTTCCTAATGAGGTTTTTAACGAGGCATCTCCCCATCGTGGATCAAAAGGTGTCAACCCTCGGCCCCCTGTTGAAGACATCATCCGACACGCATTACTCTACTCCTCTTCACCTCATTACACTCGCCTCAAGGAGTGGGGGACTGGAAGAGCGGGGGACTTAGCGCCTCCGTTAACTAAAGAAGCAGAAATTCAAATTTTTGTTCATGAAGTTTACTCACCAGACGTCGACAGATCAGCACACAGTTCTACTCTCTTTCGCCTCGAATACTCTCGACTCAGAGAGTGGGAGACTCCTGATAGAGTATATAGACTCGGACCCCCCGGGTCTCACGACTATTGGACCCGGACAGTGGCCCACGTACACTCAGCTGATAGCATTTTCATTATTGTACATTATTATTATTATTCAGGTGTTCTAGATTAGCCTTTTATATTATCAGTCCATTTATGTAACCGAGTCTGTCAGGCCCATATTAGAGGCCCAGACCCGGATATTCTTCTATATATACTCCCTTAGGGAGTTCTTGTAAACCTAATTTCACAATTCACTATTCATTCTTCTTCTTCCTCACATTAGCTCAAATCTCTCCATTTTAATATACTTTGGATACCCTATAATCCATCAAGTATAATAGATTTATATGATTGGATAGTTAATTTTTTTCATAATTCAACATATATATGCAGTCATTTCAATCAGTATTTCGTCAATTGCAATATATTTAATTGATTCAACCAATTTTACCAAACATGATTTAGAGAAATTAATAATTGAAATTTCTCTAATTAATTGCACCTTTTAGAAGACTTAGAAAACAGTTGTCCCAAATTCTTGCCTCTATAGGATGTTTTTTACTTGGAAAAAAATTGTCTGTTCTGGTCTGTTCTGATCTGATATGATAAATGTCTGGTCTATGTGCATTTTATAACTATCCAAGTCTCGTTTGGTCTAAACTGAACTGGTCTAGTCTGATTTCATCTGATTTGATCTTGGACTAAAAACATTCCAAGTAAAAATATCCCAAATCATATATTAGGGGGTGACTATACTTTTGTAATAAACGTTTATAGGCGACCCTAAAAAGATAGCTTCAAATAAGACTTTTAGGGGCAATTATGCATTTAGAGGCAACTCTAGCTAAAAGGGTTGTTCCAAACAATACTCCGTACATTTTAGTGACAAAGAAACTACGATTGTCTTGTTCCAAATAATACCTTTTAAAAATATGTTCTCTTCGTCTGATCTGAATGTTTCTGATCTGAATTTTTTAAGATCTGATCATATTTGATTTGAATTTTCTGATATGATCTTAATCTTTCTGATCTGATCTGAATCTTTCTGATCTGATCTGATCTGAATCTTTCTAATCTGATCTGATCCGATCTGAATTTTTCTGATCTGATCTTAATCTTTCTGATCTGATCTGATCTGATCTGATCTGAATCTTTCTAATCTAATCTGATCTGATCTGAATTTTTCAGATCTGATCTGAATGCTTCTGATCTGATCTGATCTGAATCCTTCTGATCTTAACTTTCTAAACCGGTATATAATAATATTAGTACTAATAATAATTCTAATAATAATATCAATAATAATAATAATAATAATAATAATAAATAATATTAATAATAATTATAATAAATTAATAATAATAATAACTATTATTATAATAATTATATTTATTTAATAATAATAATAAAATAATAATAATAGTAATAATAGTAATAATAAGAATAATAATATTAACAATAGTAATAATAATAATAATAGTAATAATAATAATAGTAATAATAATAATAATAATAATAATAATAATAATAATAATAATATATTTGATAATAATAGAACGTTTCCAATTTGCTATGAATGTTTCTGATCTGGTCTGATCTGAATGTTTCTGATCTGATCTGAATGTTTCCGATCTGATCTGATCTGGTCTGAATGTTTCTAATCTGATCTGATGTGATCTGATCTGAATCTTTCTGATCTGATCTAATCTGATCTGAATTTTTCTGATCTGATCTGAATTTTTCTGATATGATCTGATCTGAATTTTTCTGATATGATCTGATCTGAATAAAATAAGAATAAACAATAAGTAATAAGAATAAGACGAACAGAACAGCACCTTAGTGTCAAAAAATGACGATTGTCTCAAATGTATCGAGAGAATATAAGATTAGAGGCAACCAATATTTTATGACGTTGAAAAGCCTTTTAGAGGTAAATTGCTTCAAAGTGTTGCCTGATTTAAAAATGTGATATGCATATTTGTAATTGAAGCCCGTTTTGTTGACAAAAGACCACGTTTGTTGAAAAACTCGTGCCAAAAGTGTGATCGGAGACTAAATATTTGCCGTGAACGACTTGCCGTAGTCATTAAAAAAAACCATGTTTGTGTCTATGTAGGGAAAATGACCAAAAATGACACTGACGTTGTTTAGCAATCACAGATAGGACACTGAAGTTTAAACTGGACCATTTAAACACATAAGCCACCTGTTTGGGTTACATTTGGCCACTCTCTAACCGAGCCGTCCATCTGTCGTTAACTCTCTCCTCCCCCCAATGAAACGCTACCCAACAATTCCTCAGCAACCCTAATAAAAACGATCAACCACTTCCAGCCTCTCAGAGATCATATAACAACAACAGAGAAATGGGTGATGGAGGTTCACGTTCGAGGTGGACTGGTGAAGAGAAATCAAGCTCTTTCTTCGTTGAATCAGTGAAGAAGCGAAGCAACTTAGAATCTGGAACTCCTACTCGTTCCACCTATTGTAAATGCAGAAACATGAATGAAATGGTTACAGAAGCTAGACTTTGGACCTCATGGACTGATAAGAATCCTGAGAGACGATTCTATGGATGCCCATATTATAAGGTAAGTTTGTAAATTGGTGGTCTTGTTTATATAGATGAATGGAATTAATATATGTGTTTTGTACTGTAGAAGGAGGGGTGCGGTTTCTTTCAATGGCATGATGAGCAATTGACAAATAGAGCGAAAGATGTGATAAATCAGCTGAAATGGAAGAACAAAAGGCTTAGGGGTGCACTATGTCAACGAAATGGCAAAGGGGGGATGTTTGATGACACTGCAGGGCTAGAATTTGATACTGAAAGTGCTAGTGCTAGGTTCCCTCTTCCTTTTCACCTTCTTTCTTAATTGGCCTGATGTGACAGCAGGGCTACCCTTCCATTGCAAACCAAGGGCTTTGAAAGGTAGGTTGGTGGGTTGTTGTACATGTGCTCCATCACCCTTAAACGCTATATCTCTGTATCTTGGCTTATTGACAGATTTCTGATTCCGGGCAGCAGCTCTTATTTCCTTCTCATTAGGAATAACATATCTAACTGTAACATCAGGATCATGTGGCATCTCAGCTTGCTCCTCAGATACAACATGTTCACTCCTCATCCCAGGCTGCAAAACCAAGAGGTATAAGAACAACAAACCTAATTAATCTGATTTTACAACATCCAGCTCTTATATTCACAACCAAGAAAATACTTTACTTTTCTATTCTTTAAGAAATACTCACATTTAAAGTCTTTGCCCCAGTATTAACATCAACATAGCAACCAAAACCAGTTAAAGTGTCGAGGCTTTTGTTTCTAGCTATTCTTCTTGATTTCAGTTTTGAGGGCCTGGTGATAGTGGTTGTTGATTTTTCCCTTCCTGGTGGTGGGGGTGGTGAAACTACCGGGGTCAAAGCCTCAACATCAGTTCTCTTCACAACTTGATTTGCATTGGGCTCTTCATTTGCCTAATAATTAAACATATAAGTAAATTCATAACAACAACCATCTTACAATAGAACTGAGCATAAGTAATTTTATAAGAACACATAACACTTACAGAAGTGGCTTGGTTTAGACATTTAGACCTTTTATGACCCTCTTGATGACAGATCCCACAAGCTTGCACTTGGCCTTTTTTTGAAGCTTTTTTAGCTGTGGCAGGTTGTTAGTTTGAAGTACCTGATGATGGTTTTCCCTCAGTAGATGACCTTACCCTATTTTTTTAGGTCTACTTGGTAAATTTGGAACTGGGGGAGGTTCAATTGCTTCATAGTCCTCAACTGTCATGAAAGCTTTAAAAGGAACTGGTTGCAAATAATTCTTATATGCTGTCTTGTATGTTGATCTGTGATACCACTTTGAAATGAATGACATGTGATCTAACTTCTTATGGTACAAAGCACATATGGCATGTAAACATGGTATTCCTGTAAGTTCCCATGCCCTGCAAGTACATACCATGTTATCCAAAACAACTGAGTGTTTGTTAGCTCCCTCACTTATCTCAAACCCCATATCACCATTGAATATTATAGTACAACCTGTTGCAACCTCCTTATTGTCTTGATAGTATTCCATGCATGTAGGAGACCATTCATTTCTCCATTTCTCTGGAATGTCCTGAAACTCAGAAATCCTCTTCATTGCCTTCAACCTGATGTCTTCTAGCATGCTAACAATTGGTTTTCTTCTTGCTTCCCGAATCCATGAGTTGAATGACTCAGTTATATTATTATCAACCATCCAACAGTGACTTTTGTTACTAAAATATGCACGACACCATGTTTGGATTGGATACTTCAACACATCAGAGCCTGCTTCTTGTCTAAGCTTTCCTAATTTTTTCAAATTCATTTCCAACTCTTCTTCAAATGTGCACCATGCACAAATCCAGAATCTCTTACAAAATTGATCTCCTCTCCATTTCTTGGACCAGTTAGCATACACATGCCTAGCACAATACCTGTGCTCTGCATCCGGTATAATCTCTTGAGCATCAATTATTAAACCCTTCTGCATGTCTGATATAAGGGTTAACTCAGCACCAGTGTGAAGCTCTAGTTTCTGAACTAGCCAAGTGAGAAACCATCTCCAGTTAGACTTGTTTTCTTTGTCTATTACAACCCAAGCAATTGGAACCATTTTCCCATCTCCATCCACACCTACTGCACTAAGCAAGTTTCCCCTACACACTCCATTTAAAAAGCAACCATCAACCCCAATTATTCTTCTACAACCACCCATCCAGTTTTTCCTCAAAGCATCAAAGCAAATAAACATTCTTTTGAAGACTCTCCTCCCATCTTTCAAGGATTGACTGCACAGTTCAATTTCAGCTTTTGATCCAGGATTGCTTCTCTTTATACAAGCAGCATATGCCTCCAGGTAACCAAACTCTGCTTTATAACTAACATCCAACTCTTGAAGAATAAGTCTTTTGGCCCTCTTACACTTGTACAAACTGACATTAATCTTAAGAACTTTCTCAGCCTCCTCTTTCATTTCAGCAACCCTAAAGTTTGGATTTTTTTGTAGGTGACCTTTGAAGTAATTTGTTAGCCATTTCTGAGAAGCACTGGGGATGGAAAAGTGTCTGAAACATTTGTGCTCTAGATTGCATACTTTAACTGCCAAGCCAGAATTCTTCCCATCTTTAGATATCCATAATCTGAATGGGCACCCTTCCTCGTTCAGACATTTTACAGCCAATTTGTTCTTCTCATTGGGTTTGATTTTAAGCTTGTATCCAAACTTCACACCATAGTCTGCAATGGCAGTTCTAGCCTCATCGACATCCAAATAATAAAGCAAGTAGATCCATCTGTGGTAGTGTAGTTAACCCTCACATCTTCATCACTATCTTCTGCTTCCTCTTCTTCATTGCTACTATCAGAATTTAGTGGTTCCTCTTCAGCTTCCCCATCACTTACATAACCATTTGGCACCCCTCTAGTTTCAGGGGGAAGTACCCCCTCATTGACTGTTTCAGGGCTTTGGTTACTCACATTCTCACTCTGGTTGTTTTGAACAGAAGACCATTCTATTTTGGGAATGATAAGGGGCTCGTCCAGTTGAGGATCAGCATATAACTTTATATCATCAATCCAAGAAAAATTCCTAATCCGATTCAAAACCTTCCTAATTGTGTCATCATCTTGAACTAGAAACAGCCCATTGGTTAAATCTTTTCCGGGTACCAAAACATAAATGTTTTTTAGTGTTATGAAATCCAATTCCTCTTTGTAAGTTCTTTGAATGACATGAAAGCACGAAAAGTCAGGACCAAACCTATATATTGTATGGACATCCCCATCAACATATTTCATTTTCGGGTGCAAAATCCATCTCCCACTGTGATTAAACGGCAGGTTCACCAACTCACTCATCCTTTACGAGGAAAAGAAAATAAGTACATTGAATACCTTTAAGTCACTGGTTCACCAACTCACTCATCCTTTACGAGGAAAAGAAAATAAGTACATTGAATACCTTTAAGCGTGACTGTGGATTCCAAAATGAGACGCTAAGCACTCCCAGTCATTCACGTGCATACGGAAGTAATCACTCTTCTTCTAAGCGCACTCAGTTTCAGGCTAAGGATCTTCATGGCAGATGAATTAGGGTTGTCAATTTTGTTGGGTAGCGTTTAATTGGGGGGAGAGGAGGGAGTTAACGACAGATAGACGGCTCGGTTAGGGAGTGGCCAAATGTAACCCAAACAGGTGGCTTATGTGTTTAAATGGTCCACTTTAAACTTCAGTGTCCTATCTGAGATTACTAAACAACGTGAGTGTCATTTTTGGCCCTTTTCCCTGTCTATGTACTGATAGAGTAGTTATGACGGAAAAGTTAAGAAGATCAGCATATCCATAATTTTTTAAAGGGTACATGAACTTACGCTCAATTTAGTCACATATTTAACAAATAGAAGATCAAACGCTATAAATATTGTGTATAAATGTAGAAGTATATATACAACGAAGGTCAATTTATATTACACATGTACACAAACATGCATTTCTCAATAAAATGTTAGAAAGTTCTCTAAATAGGAGGTGAACATACAAATTTTAATGTCAAATATGAGCATCATTATTTTCTTCTCAAAATAGGACTCATGCATTTTTATATACAAATTTTATCCTTTTATTCTTTTAAGAGTATTAGCCAATTCCTATACTTGGGTAAAAAAAATACACTTATAACTTTTCTAAAATTTTCCCTATATTTTACTCATATTTTGAGTAATACAATTTCTTAAAAGAAAAACGTTGAGAGAATTCCCGAAATAGGAGTAAAAGATGAAGTAAATGAAAAAACAGGACATATTGTTTTAAATTCCCTAAATATGACTTAATTTTGATAGCGAAAAATTACTTATACAGTTCATTTAATGTCTCAATTTATGCATGCTTCTCGTACTACTCACATGCTTGATGTCAAGCGTATTTTTCGCTACTTACAGGGCACTATTGATCATGGATTATGGCTGCAAACACCTGTACATCCTATATGTATTTTGACGTATTCTGATGCTGATTGGGTGGGCTGTCCAGATAGTTCTCGATCTACTACAGGTTTTGCAGTGTTCTTGGTCCCTAACCTTGTGTCATGGAAGTCCAAGAAGCAGCCTACAGTGTCCAAATCATCTACATATGAAGAATATTGTGCCATTGCTTATACAGTACAAGACATATTACACATTAGATCCGTCCTTTTTGAACCTGGCTTTCCCGTCCATACTCCGGTACAACTCTTCTGTGATAATATTTATGCCTCCTATTTGACGGTTAATCCTGTTCCGCATGCTCGAAGCAAGCACATTCAGATCGACTATCATTTTTCGTGAGAGAGTCGCACATAATGATTTAGTAGTGAAATATGTGCCTACTCATCTTCAATTTGATTTTTACTAAGAGTTTATCTAGTTACCAGTTTCATTTTTTAAAAGACAACCTGCGCGTTGTATCTCTCGCACAGCTTGAGGGGGTGTAATAGCTGATATATTTTATGAATCCTTGTGTATTTATTAACTGATATTTTATTATAAATATACCTACCAGGGTTCCTAAGAGAGTAACCATTTCCCATTATTTCACAGTACTGTCATCTTTATAGATGTAATGCCATAAAAGGAACCTATTTTGTCATCTAAATGTTTGCAAATCAGAAATAGCTTTTCTATTTATTCAAAAAAGTAAACAAAAAATTAACAGAAATCGGGATAATCAAAGAAAAACAAAGCATTAGAAAGAGGATGAGAAGATGATGAAGAAGAAGAATAGAAGGAGGAGGAGGAGGAGGGGAGGAGGAAGTTGGAGAAGATTACCTGTCACATTTACAGTAAGGGAGTAATATGGATTAGAAACGGGGAAATCGATGGGAGAGGGGTGGGGCTAGGGTTGGGGTATGAGAATGGGGTAACAATGGGGTAGCGGCAAGAGTCGGCCAGTGAAGGGGTCTTCATCCTGGGGATTACGGGAAGTGGTTTTGGAGAGTGAAGTGGTTAGGGCAGTGACAGAAGGGGGGGGGGGGGGAGTGGCATAAGGATTTGTGTAATGGAAAACTTGGTCAGTAGGCATCGAGGGAGAATGGTCACTAAATCGGGATGACGGGTCAAGAATACACTGCACATGGGGGCCATGTTCAGTAGGTCAATGATTAGGGCAACAAGTCACTGATGTTAGCGGGTGTCGCGGCAGTAAGGCACCAAAGTCGCTTCACGACGGACAAGGACTAATACGTCAAGGAGAGATTAATGATGTGGTGAGGTCATTGTAGTGGTGGGTCACTAGGGTCACTAGAGCGGTGGATCATTTTGGTGGAGGAATCACTAAGTAGATCATTGCGAGATGATGTAAGAAAGAATGACGAAACTAAGAGTACCGGGTTTAGGATGGACAAATTTAAGCTTGGTTTTTATACGGACAAATATGAGACTAAAACTCACGTGAAATGTCTCAATTATCCTCCCACCAGTAAAGCAAATACTCCGTACAAAATACTATCAGTTCTTCTACCTGCTTTTCTGCTTTCTTCTCCAACACACACCACTCCAGCTTTTCCTCTTCCGTGTAAGTTTTTTCTCCATGGACGAGTGACGATGACACTCTCTTCTTCAAATCATCTGACTTTTCTTCCACGAGTTTTTTCTCTTCTTCACGTGGAAATGGCGAATCTTTTCTTCAACGAGTTTCTTCTATTCTTCAGATGGAAACGACAAAGCTTTTATTCGATCTGCAGTGCTGCTCTCTTCTTCGACGAAAATATACGACTTCAACGAAGACGATGGTTGCTCCATCAGCAAAGAAGCATCCAGATCAATGGACTCTCCACTTTGACGTGTACTTTAGGACGGGGGTGGTAGTTGGGGGTACGGTATGGCGGTGTGATGTGACTGTGCAGGGGCTAGGCTGGACCGTGGGATGTGGGCTGCTAGGGGCTGGGGGCCGGGGGCTTGGGGATGGGGGATGGGGGCACCAAACTGGGAAGGTGCTGGTGAGGGGGCTAGGGAGGGTCTTGGGGGTATTGACCACCGGGGCGGGGGCGGCAATCACCCACAGGTTGTAGCGGAGGTTACCACCTTGACAATGACGTTCATTGGCGTCATTTGGCGGTGATGGTCATGTAAGGAATAAATGTAATTAGATTTTGATGATGCAAGGTTTATTAGAATTTGAAAGTACCCCTATAGATTTTTTTGTGTTAGAAAATGTCTTTGTAAGTTTTAGCATAGTCGACATGCCAGAAACCCTCTTGGTCTTCTTGATCAGAATATCTACCAGAGGTACTCCTAGAGCTGCTCTCCAGAGAAGCTACCAGAGTTGGCATCAGAAGCAGTCATCAGAGTTCGGACCAGAAAATCTCATCAGACCTGCTCTTACCTAGCAGAAATCGAAGGCACTTACCAACGGTCGTTAAACTAACGGGAAATCCTCTAACGACTAGGAGCCTTTCGACGGGAACATGGTACTGTACACGCATTAAATGCTCAATTAATGATGTACGTACGGAGATATATTTAAAGCTGATGATTGACCATGTGAGTATCTTCGCGCCCCCAAAATAGCAAGTCGAAGGTCCAACCGGTCAAGTCAACAGTACAAGCATTTAATGAAGCCGTCTTCTACACTCCAACGGGAAGACTGCTCCCAGTATATAAGATACACTTTGAAGAACTACCAAGACAACTTTTGCTACACAACCTTGCAATACTTATTTACTCTGAACCAAATACCTTCAAGCTTTCTTGAGATCAAAGACTCACGTACCTCAACAAGAAAAGCTCAAGTTGGAAGATATACTTTCTTATCCTTCATCCAACTAACAAGTAGCAAAGTTCCTCAGTTCTTCAACACTTCGAAAGCATCATCTACACATCCTTTGTGAAGAAGCAACGTTGGAGAAAACTGATCTTGAATCAAACACTTCTTGAAAAAGAAGGGGCGTCTCAAACTAACTGGAGTAAGTGAAGTGGTGATACTTCCAAGAGACTCAGTGAAACGAGACCAGCCATCAAGAAGCAGGACTGCATCCCGGGTGGCAACTAGGCTTGAAGAAGATGTGGAGTGCTTCTTAAGTTCTAGGGACTAAGGCGTTGTAAACTGTTGTTTTTGCAATCTTAGTGGAACAGTGGACTAGAGGAACAAGTTGTTCCATGAACCACTATAAAAATCCCCGGTGTCATTTACTTTACTCATTTATTTCTGCACTTAAGAACTTGACTGATTAACTCAAAAGGTTGGACTCTGTGTTCAGCAGATCTCCCTCAAGAGTTATCAGAAAGGCATTTGCCTTAGTGTTTTCTGAGGCTACCCGGACAGAAACCAATCCGCTGCCAGTTCCAGTTCTGCCATCAGAACTTGACCTTCTCTGTCACCAGAATTCGACCATCTCTGATAAGTCAAGTGTGACTTAGAGAAAAGTTTGAAAAATCCTGAAAAGTCTATTCACCCCCCCTCTAGACTGTTCCCATTACAAACGGGACCAACATGTCACTACAGTCTATACTTGGGAAACCTTCACCGGTGGCGGATCATCGATACAGTAGCTTATCGCAAAAAAAGTTCACAAATCGGAGTGATGATAATTACGAGGGTGGTTAATTGGTCACTAGATTGGTAAAACTAGGACGATGATCACTGGAGCAGTACGGAACGGTGATCACTGGAGCGGTAGTAACTGGAACGGTGGTCACTGAAGCGGTAGTAACTGGGACAGTGGTCACTGGAGCGGTAGTAACTAAGGCGGTGGTCACTGGAGCGGTAGTACCTGGGACGGTGGTCATTGGAGCGATAGTAACTGGGACTGTGGTCACCAGAGCGGTAGTAAATGGGTAGTTAGTCATTGGAGCATGATGGAGTATATGGCCCAAGAACCCCCGGCCCATAGACTCCCACTATTCTAATGGAGGCCCAATAGGCCCAAGAAGCACGGCAGGCCCAAAACACAGCGCCCCAAGTACTGAACAACCCAAGTGGCACATTGGGAGTACTTTTGGCCCCCTGGCCGAAGGCTCCAAATTCTCACAGAATCGCCAACTCAAGCGAAAAAAATTACTGGGAGAAAACGGCGAAAATCAGTAGCCCTCGGCACCTAGAGCCCTCGGCACTAAGGAGGTCCCCGGTACTCAGAGCCCTCGGCTAATCACCTATAGCCGAGGGCACCTTTCTCGACATAATATCCACTCCACATGCGCCTGAATCACCGTACCAAGTACGACGTCACATCCAACAGCCGCATTAAATGCGGTCACATGCGATTGCCAGCGCCAACCAGTTGATGTGACCCCTCGGCCAATGGATGCTTGACACGTGTCCCTATCTGGCATTTATTACTACTATAAATAGCGCCCCATTTCCCCATTTGTAACCCAAGCAAAATACGCTGAATACATATCGAATATACACTCTCTCTCTTACTTACTTGCTCTGACTTCTCTCTAGTTATCCTCCGCAGTAACCCCTCGGATAAGCTACCCCCGGGTATACTATCCATCATTTGGTGCTCTCGTTGAGAGCCGAACTCAAGTAAGAAACCATCCCCTTCGCCAAACACAAAACACCTAGCCAAAATGGTGAGAACAACTCGTGCCAACTCCAAGAACGTTGAGGACAGGAACCTGGCCCTCGGCGAAGTCGACGTCCCCAAAGCCTCTAACATGGCTCCCGGGGGTGGCGTCATCGCCGGGTTGGACCAGACGGCTGTCGACCTACGCCATCAGATTCAAAAGAATGCCCCCGATGCCCGCCTCGGCATCGAGGCCAAGAAAAAGGACCGGAGCGAGAACCAAGTTAGCCCTCCGGTCATCACTATCGATGTGCAATCGGCGTTTTCCGCCTTCATCCAGACGCTCACCTAGAATCCGGGTGCCTTCGGCACTCTGGTTCCCCTCCAACCTCAGGTCAGGGAAAATATCATGCCTCCCCCTCATCCACACCCCCTCGGGAACCCTGTCCTCCGAATTGGGAACGTCGAGGGGGTCGTGGCCCAAGATACGACCTCCCAGGAAGTCCAGTCCCGGGACCGCCACAACGTGAACAAAGAACAACCCCGGACCTCCGCCCTCGAGAGACTCGGAGGGGCACAAGACCGCCGAGGGGTCCAAGACCGCCAAGGGGGGAAGGCATTCCAGAGGCCTGAGGAAAGTGGCGGATCCGTATCTAGGGACAATGAAAGACGTCCCCCTCAGGACAAAGGCAAGGCACCTCTCCATGCCAACGACGCCCGTCACCAAATCAACCGGGCCCACTCGGCCCGTGTCCATTCGCAGGGGGCGGAGGCCCTCCCGAAGGACCCCCGGGACGAAATTATTGCGACCCTTCAGCGTCGGCTTGATGAGATGGAGGCCACCAAAGCGCACACCACCACTTATTCCCCTCATCCAGACCTGAAGTATGAGGCCATGTTGGTCAAGATGGAGGAAATGCAGAAGAAGATAACCGAAGGCTCCGGGGAACCCACCATACAACTCCGGACCCGGACGCCATTTACCCCAAGGGTATTGGCGGCCCGGATCCCGGAAAAATACCGAAGGCAGCTCATCAAGCCCTACGACGGAAAAACTAACCCCCAGAAGCACTTCAGCAG